TAGAATAAAAAATGAATTTAACAAAAGATGAAAAATAAATAAAAAAAAGAAAAATAAAATTAACAAAACATAAAAAAGATACAAAAAAATAAAAGATAAAACTATTTTAATTTTAGGTGCAACAGCGAATCCATTAAGTGGAAAGTATATGTGGATTGATGAGTGACGGTCAATAATTGTCTATTAAGAAAATCAGTAATTTTTATATCTTTTACAATTTTATTTTACGTTAATAATTTGTATCATTCCTTATTAATAAGTAATATATGTTTACATATATGCTTTTATTTGTCCATTTATCTATTTTATGGTTTCTTTCACAAGTTTGCCAAAATTTAACATTACATAGTACATGCAGAAATGTAATTAATATATAGATACAAACATATTTGTATATGTATATCGTCTATATACATAATTACTGTTGCATATATGTATGTATGTACATGTTTATATATCCTTTCACGTTACTGTACATTAATGCAGAACGTGTTCAAATTATGTTCTTCATTGTTTTTTAATAATACGAGATAATTTTCGAACTTTAACAAATAAAGAATAATGCAGTATCACTGCTTTAATATATATGTATATACAATCTTTACATGCATACTTTACACAATCATGCAGCTAAATATCACTCATACTAATATATTAATAATTTTTTTATACAACTATACTCAATGTTTTATGTATACCTATAATTATTTTTTATATACATATAAACTTTTTTCGTGCAAAATTCAATTTGCAATTTTTTATTATCTGACCTTTTAAGTGGACTAACAAAATTTTATAAAAATTTGTCGAATACAGGATATACATACGAGTATTTTAAACTGCATATCGTGTAAGAAACACTGACACTATTTGCCATTAGCGAAATGAATTTTGTAAGCAAATTGCATTGTAATGAAGAATGTGCTTATTATCAAAAATATACTAAAAATGACAACAGAAATAATTTCTTACAAAATCTGTTAATTTCAGCACTTTAAAGGGGGAATATTTACAACTTGTTTACAATTTTTATTTGTTCTTTAAGTTTAAGGAACTATTTCAAATATATTGTTATTATTTTAAATCATATACTATATGTATGAAGYTTCTGATCGTGCTTCTTTTAAATTGACCCTTTTGCTTCACGTGCTTCTTCTAACAAATTGGAGAAAGTAAGAGTTTTAAGTCACCTCTGAACGGTTTTTGGAATTTATGTAAAACTTTTGCCAATGTTGGCATTAAAAACGCTTACACTGGCACTGTTGTATATAATCTGACTAAGATATGCAAGTGTTTCGAAAAATCTCCAAATTATACTGCGTGTTAATAAACAGTATGTTTTATATACATATTTTTTATTCATCACTTTCGCTGAGTTTCTATCTCAGATCAATACTTCCTAAGTGCTTTGGTAAACATCACACACGGGCATGTATTTTTTTTATGTAGCATTTAATGATTTTATTATCGTGCGCTAACAGTGCACTGACTCGAATAGAATTGTTGATCGATACTAAATTGTTCAAGTACAAGCAGTTTCGGGCGTTAATAGGTACATATAAGCAGCAATTAAATGAAAAACAAGAAATATAATTAAAAAGCAAGTATAAAATTAAAAATTTCAAAAAATATTAACATAATAATGAGACTTTTTTTTTAACAAACGGATTTGTCAGTTGAATTGTTTGGAAAAGTTTCATTCGCATTTGCATTTGAGCGCTACAATAAGCACCTTCTACTGCATAAAATTATTTTAAAAAAAATCTTTATTTATGCTTTTTCTCTAGCTAGCTTTTGTATTACAAAGTGTCGGAAGAAAATTATTAAACTTTACCACTTGRTACCGATCTTTTTATAATCATAGGTAATTTTTCAAATTATAATTATTTACCACCTATAATTTTAAAACTTAATGAATTTACTTGCAAAAGCTGTATTTATTTAATGCTAATGCGTTTGCACATACATACATATGTATAGGTTAATTCTAAATTTGTTTTTTTTTTATTTGCGTTTTGAAAATCATTTTTTTTTTTTTTAATACATTTATAACTGACTATAAATATACATACATATTTGCAAATATTTACAGCAAAAACATTTACACATTAGTTTTATCGTTAATTTTTTTTTTTTTTTTTAAGAATTTTTTACTAGAATATTAAAATAATAAGCATGTTCTTCTAATATGCATCTTCTTAATTCGATCAGCAAAGTTTAAGCGAATTCGTCTGCATTCATAACTACACAACAAATAAAAAGGAAGCGATCTAAAAAGCTGAATTTACTGAAAATTAAATATTTGCCTGAACAAATTTTCCAATCGCTAAAATGGAATCTTTTAAGACTGCTGTAAGTTTATTGTCTTACTCCCGTTTATGTAACAGCAATAACCGATTGCTAGCGACATATCTCTTAGCAGCACTAGTCGCAAAAAGCATGCTGAAACTCCATCATTTTTTTACCGTAACCGCCAATAATTCTCATAGATAGCGTATGTAAATAAAACCACCGAATTATAAGTTGACTTGCAGTAGCCAATTAATTTTTATTGAAGCTATTATTTGTAAACTGCCTATTCTAGAGCCTAACAACGATGGTTCAACAATATTTTGTGTTTCACATTTCACAATTGACAAGCATTTAATTTGGTGGTTTTACGTGAGTTTACGTACATTCTCTTCGAGCGTATAATTAACATAGATTGAACCATACAGTAAACGCTGACAGGAATTAAGAATTTGAAATATACCAATAGATTGAATGCATTTGCAAAGAGATCGCTTCGAAATCCGAGAACTGGTGGTGGTGAGTATCAATTTTGACTGTTACAAACATAATTAAGACAGTAAAATTTCAAAGCAATCGGTATAGGTAATAATTGCGCAATACACTTTGTATTCTATTAGTCAATTCGAAATATTGTAACTAGCTTCTGCGTGTGTGTTTGTGTGTAACCTTTTTTGTGTTTTATATGTGAATCTTAAGTGTATATACTAAATTTAAGCATAATAATAGTTTGTATGTATATTTAATTATAATTAAATGTTAATATATTAGTTTTTGTTTTATATAGGTTATGCTATTGACAACTATATTTATTTAAATACAAATTGATATTTTTGTTTTTGTTTTTTCTATTACTGTGTTTTCTTCTCTTTTTGTTTTCAATATGAAATCTAATATAAAAGTTGCCGATAAAAAAATTAAAAGAATAAACTTATTCATAATTTTTACAATGTGTACTTCCTTCGCCTCTTGTTGTTGTGCGCAAATGAGGAAGAAAACAGCATAAAGTAGTTTTTAACTGTGTCTTTAAAAAAAATGCCTTCAATTATTGTTAATGCTTTACTTTGTTGTTTTTAATTTTTCTGTGTACTTTTGCATTTTATTAAGACAGCAAGAAATTAATATAGTATTCCTACATTTGTTGTTGTCGTTAAAATTCCACGAAAATATTTGCTATTGTTTTATAAACATCTGTAGATATTTTAAAATACATGAAAGCACAACAAAATTATCATTCATATATGTAAGTATTTATGCAAATTACAATTTTTCAAATTAAGAAACCCAAACGTTTACATATTTATGAATAGTGTCTTATAAACTTGTAAATTATGTGAGAAATGAAATAGGTTATATTACTATTGATTAAGTAAGAGCAACTATCTGAACTATGTTTTTCCTTATTTCATTAGATCCACATTACATACATTCAGCACACATTCTTACTAATTGTGTTTGCTCGCAGGCATTGTAATTTTTTACATAAAACTGSGAGATATATTGAATTCTATGCCATTACCACGAACAACAAAGTATTACGCACACTAAATATTAATGCAACGCAGCATGAAACGACATTTTGCTAAAATAAATGTGAAAAATATTCAAATATTACAAAAAAAAGCGTAGTGGCGATTTTCAAGTAAGTTTTTATTTATTCTCGCTACCTCACAGTACGGCGTTGTCGTTCATTGCCGCCGCCACGATCTTCACTTTCGCCACGCCATTCCGGATCGTTCGGATCATCGTCGGCGAAYGGCTCGCTGTCCGTGGAGTCTGCATCGCTATCACGATGACGCCGGCCTAAATAAGCCTCGTACTCATCGTCTATATCCATYATTCGGTCACGTGCGCCACCATTAAAGGGCCCAACGCAGCCAGCACTACCTGCACCGGCATCAAAGAGATCATCATCGGGAGCCAAATGATGTTTTGGATAATCATAATCATCATACTCCTCRGCTAAAAACATCATTAAATCGAGGTCATCATCATCGCCATCATCATCCGCTTCCTCAACTTCGTCCGCTCTACCGCTATTCACACAATTGTTCACCGCTTCATTATTAAATCTAACGCGTGTGTGATTACCGCGTCGCCTTCCCCTACCACCTTTGGAACCTTTGCGTATCTTACCACCATTAACTCGCTGTCTTTTATTTGTTGTAACATCACAGTTTTGAATTGATTTTCCACGTCTGTTAACCACAGCTGAACCATCACCACGCCAACTGTTTCGATGCCGTGGATATTTGGAGCCACCAGCAGCAGCACCAGTGTTGTTGCAGTCTTCTAAATATTTTGCGTCGAAATTCAAATAGTGAAATTCGACGGGCATTGCCTTTAGCAATCCTTCAAACTCCTCATCGGTAAGTGGGAATTTCAAAGGTTCATATGGAGGCACAAGCTACAGGCAAATATAAACAATAAATAAATTTTTATAATTAAAGTCCTGCCAAAATGATTTAATTCGCTRTTTACCTCTTTTGGGTCTGGCGTAGAACTGCGTCGCTCCGTTTCGCGATCTCTTTTAGTTGATGTTGTGCGACGGCGCTCTAAACGTTTGTTTAAATCATTATTATTCGCACAATTTGAGGTGCCGCCAATGCTGCTTGCTGGAGCATTACCTGAGTTGATTAGTTAATTATAATTATAATTATTATATAAAATATATGGATCTATTATAAAAACAARAACAAAGGTTGCACCGAAGTTATAATACCCTTCCCAGATAATATAGAGTTGCCATACAAGAACTTGGTTTGGTCGTTCACTTTGTATGACAACTATATGTTAGAGTAGTACAAACTGAACAAGTTATCAATTAAGCGTTGCTTTGGACAATAATACACACCAAATTTGGTGTAGATATCTGGTTGGTAAGTAAAAGATTTCTATACAAGAACTTGATTTTTATTGTTCAGTTTGTATAACAGCTATATGTTATAGTTGAGGCGATAWTGGTTCCGACAAATGAGAACCTTCTTGGTAAAAAAAAAAACGACGTTTCAAAACTTCAGGTCGATATCTCAAAACCTGAGGGAGTTGTTCGCATATACAGAGGGAGAGATAGAAAAATTGACATTACTAAATTAACTCAACTCGACAATCTAATCATGTATACCTATATTTCTTGTCCACGACGTTTTCTTTTGGGTATTACAAACTCCGTGGCGGCBTTAATATACTGTACAAATAACACTTGAAATCACGCTACACTTACTTAAACCATTCTCGGTYAATTCCGTAACCGTGTCCACGGGGTTAAGCGGTGTTGCCGGTGGTGCAGGAGATGGAATACTCTGTAAGCATTAATACAACAGAATTTGTATGTGGTATTACCACCAAATATTAAAAAAAAAAAACATTTACCTCGTGATCGCCTCCACCTAAAATGGCGGTTTGTGGCGCTGGAGAAGTGGGATCAGGAGTGTTGGCGCCACTAGATTCTGCCCGACTGTCAATGCGCCGATTGGCGCGCGAACGTGTGCTCCATGGATATTTTAAATACGTTTGGAATTTTCGACGTTCCTCAACCAGCGCACGCTCATGTCGTAACTTAACGGTTTCATCAGAGATATCCTCTGTCTCGTTAGCTTCATCCGCAGTGGCATCATATTCAAAGTTATCTTCCTGAAATGTATCACTGCATTTCAAACGCGCCGTACGCTTTAAAGCCAAAATTGACTCAGACGCTGTTGTTTGAATTTCTTCGAAATCTCCTGTAGTAGGATCGTCTACATTATCTGTTTCAGCCGCAAYAGTGGAGGAAGCGTCCTCATGTTTTAATTTTTTCGCTGTTGGCTCGTCTGCATCAGCAGCTGTTGCTGCATCGGCTTTGATGTTTCCACTTTCAGTTTTTGCCAAAATATCATGTGATATAACATTATTCTTTTTATGATCTAGCACTTTGGACGTTTCTTCGATCGGAGCATCAATTTCATTTGTGATATCTGCTTCATCTACTGGCTGGACTTCTTTAGTAACATCCCGCTTTTCAGATGACTCCGTTCTATTTTCTGTCATTGTTTCTGTTGGTTTTTCAACTGACGASGCCTGTTCTGTTTTTTCTTTATTTACATCTTCATTGGATCTTGCTGTTGTTATATCACTTGATGTCTCTTTTACAATGTCACTGGAATCATTTTCTAACCTCTTATCGCCATCAGTTTTCGCAGTAACGGCATTATCCGCAATATTTGCTGTGTCAGTTAACTCAAGAGCAGATGTTCGATCGTCTTCAATAACACGCCATCTGAAAATATTTTGAACAATATGCAATTAGCCTCAAATAATAAAAATAATTCTTAATGATTAGAGAAAATCTCCTTAGTTAAAAAACGGATAATCAATGCACTGATTGAAGGAATTCTTCGAATATCAATCAATTCCCTTTGATAATTCAATTATGTTCTCTTATTGAATCATAAATCATATCAACAAAAGTAAAGGCACGAAATATAGTGAAAAAAMCAAAGAAGAAAAGTTGATATTTCTTTCTAACCGGTGCACAATTATTCTGAAGCTCTCTTTTAAAAAGTAATTGTGAAAAAAAAAAACTAAAAATATATGTATAAAAAGCGCATAATATGAAACTAAATAATGTTCAATTTGCACTATATTCATATTTTTTTTATCTTTAGCAACATATTAACAGCTTATCCGAATCGGCTACATGACTTTCTTAGATATATTGTTTTATTCAGTTTATTGATAATAGTTTCGATTTTCTGAAGATCGGCTACCGTAACGTGGGTATTCATTATTAAATAAAATACCTACTAAAACCACAAAAGCATATGTTTTTCCTGTCATATAAGTGTATATAACCCCTTAACCTTTGTTTTTTTTCATATATGCATTTGTATTTTTAAATTTGGAATACGAAAAGCATGATTTTGCATTACGCGCTCGGTTGTGTCGTAGGACGATTTCGGCTGTCATTTCTTAAATCACAATTATCTTGTTCAGTTCAAATACAATTGTATTTCTCTCTATATACATATATCTGTACATGTCTATCTCAAAGTAAGCTTGAATAGAAAAATATTTTTTTTTTTTTTTTTGCTTTCCCCATTACTATTGCTAATACTTTATAAAGTTTTGCCAAAGAATTTTTCAAAAAATACTTATCCAATGAACGTTGCGCTTTGAAGAAGGAAAAATTCTAGATTATTGTGTATGGTAGAAATTTATATGCATATGTACATATGTATATACAACTGGTTAATAAAAAGTGCCAACTTACTTGGGTGTTGGTATTTCCTTGTATTGTAAAATTTCAACACGTGTCGCTGCCGCAACACTATATGGTATAACAATGTTGTCAATATCATACGAAGTACGATTTTTAGATCTGCAATGAATTAGAAGCAAGCGTGATTAAACAATTATATACATAACATCGTTTAGGAGTGCTCTTACTCCTTACTAATATATACCTKTCATATTTGTGATAGTTGCTGTTGCCGACGGATGCGCTTGCATGTGTTGGCGACGATGTGCGACTACGTGTCGCAAAACCATCCCAATTCGCCTCATTCGATTCACCGGTGTAGTTCGATGTCGCATAATTATTCTGATGTTGAAAATGAGTGTTATTGCTGCTGCTGCTATTGTTGTGGTTAGCATTGCCCATTGATGTGCTTGACGCTGAGCTTTTACGATGTTTATTATGTTTATGGTTGCCAATACCACTACTACTGCCACCGCCACCGCCATTTAGGCCATTACTGTTGCTGGAGATCGATGATGAATGTATTGGGTTGGGACTGTATGGATCGTAATTTTGCGGAGGATTGTCGCTTGTTTGATGTACCGAATTGCTGTTGACGCTTTGTTGACTGTGATAACTGCTTTGACTGTGACTGCTGTGATTGGTGGCGACCGGTGATAAGGGTCTTGGCGGTTCCAGCAGCACACCGTCGCCAACTAGATGATAGTGATGCAACTTTTTTGATTTTTTTGCCACTTCTATTACATACAATATTAGCAGAGAATTCCAATATATCGGTCGTTTTAAAACGTTTTGTAAATATGTTTTGTGTTGAAAAAATCATAAGATCCAGTTATCATTGCATTAAAGAAAACAAAAGTCGGTTGTATAAAATATTTTGTTTTATTTCGAAAAGTATTTTCATTTTCGAATAGTTGTGTTTGTTACGTAATCGATTTTTTTTTTTTAATATGGTTGCAGCAATCAAACAGATAAATTAAAATATTAAATGAAGTTTCATGAAATAAACGAAGCGTACGTTTTGTTATTGTTTTTATTATTATTTTGTTTTATATCGTTTAGAGCGATAATTCAATCCATTCAACGACATTATTATTGAGTGCGAATTTTCATTAGTTTGGCGGCAGGCGGCATTTGAGTAGCGTCAAGAACGTGGATACAAATGTCAAGCATAATAATTCGATCAGTTAGCAGAGCAATTCATAATCAGAATAATTAGTTTTATGATGCAATCGATATGGTAGAGTCATTTCAACATGGAGCAGATCAGTTCATATTGCAACACACAAAATGGAAAGAAAAAGAGATGCAAAATTGTTTTTGTTTTATGTTAATATCAATTATCGAATTTTTCATGTTTACAATAATTTACTGTTGGCCACAAGTGGCGTTGTTGTAGTAGACGTAGACAAAATGCCAGTACCGTTTCCACCATCGCTCGCCGGCAATGACGTTGTCGTTGTTGCTGTTATCGCTGTGGTTTCATTTGCGCCAGCTGCTGACACATTCGTTACCGCTCCACCATTTTCGAGTCCGACTCCTTTTGTTAATTTAGCCGATGAATCTGTTGCAAAACCAATTGTTGATAGTGACGCATTTGCAGAATTTGCTGTTGTTGCCGTAGCCGCTGCCGCTGCCGCCGCCGCATTCTTTTCATCCATCGCCAAGCGATCCTTTTTCTTTGTGTAGCGGCGTTTCACGGTCGGTTCATTGTATTTCTTGGATGTGTTAAGTCCGGCTGCACGTTCGGCTTCTCGCTCAGCTTTCCAGACGCTTTTCGCTATACTTTTAACTTGACAACGCATAATTCTATGCTGCCATTCTGGAATTCGAGCAATGGCCTCCAAGTGCAAAGTGCTGCTGACGTCTAGAGAAGAATGCGAACAAGTGTCTTATTTATTTCCAAGCATACCGATGAAATTACTTCATATAATATATGTATATGTGCGWAATTATAAATATTTCCCTTCAGTTTTATTTACTAAATTGAATATTTTGATTACTTTTTCTTTGATAAGAATTTGAGACTGCATACTTGATTTAAAGTTAAGGTCACAAGTGAACATGCATAAATATTAAAAATACATGTAAATTTAATGGTAAAGGGGGCGTTTTTTAAGAGATATGAAAATTTTATTTACAATAAAACATAGAAAAGCAGGGATTTAGAATAGTATACCCGTTAAACCATTCCCATGACAAKAGGTATAAGTATAACCGGACCCGGGACATTGGTTCCCCACTGATTAGTAGTAACTAGTTTATCATCGTTAACTACAGCAAAAAAACAGTACAGGGGAGTTGGTATCCCATTTATGGAAATGAGGATTAAATCACCAAAAATACTTCCTTATAATAAAATGGTTTGAACGATTGATTCTGATGTCGGGAACCAAAACTGATGTATATTCGGTTTGAAAATTGTATGAATMAAAAATTGTTTCTGCACACAAATCACACAAGGCAGTAGATAATAATTCTGGATACAAGGAAGACCGAAAAAGTTCCTTCACAATTGCTTGTATTCTAACCACGGAAATTTTGCTTAGATACTAACAAGTTAAGAAAGAAAYAATATTGCTGAAAATTATTTGCATCTAAAAATATAAATGTATGTTTACCAGACAAAACGTGGGTTTGGAAATAAATGATTTTTAAATATTTTTCTTTTTATCAAAGAGTTATAGGGCTTTAAGTAGCTTTAAGGATACTGCTTGAAAGGAACTAGCTTGAGGAATTCATGACAAATAATTTTAAACTTTTTCTTTTAAATATCCGCATATCTATCCAATTAATTTTCTAAATAGTAACGTTTCCAAAAAAGTACCTAATAAATGCAATACATAATTTAATTGTATAGAATAATTCAACATACCTTCACGGAAACTTAAAACAGGATGATAGCCAGCATCTARTAGCGCTATTCTATCGGCCATCATCATTGTATCTGGCGGATCTCGTGGCGCTGTCGGATCTATTCGCCCCGTACACAGTGCACAAGGATTGAATGGCCACTGGCAACCACATTTGATGTTACTGAAATTTTAAATAAGCACAATAATTAGAAAAGTAACCCAAATATKTTTCATAATGCATATCAAAAGCAAAAATTAAAAACAAATTTACAACAAMATTATTAAACTCACCTTGGTCGCGCAGCCTTCTTAGAAATTGTGTGCAGACTCTGTGTTTGAAGGAGTTTACGTTTACGGAAAAGCGATGGCACAAAACCGCGGGTGCGGGCAGTCCCCATCAGTCCCGTTCCATCCGCTTCGCCTATATCAAGTTTACTGCTTGTGTTGCCTACCAGATTCCCTTTGTAACCATTAACAGATGTTGTTATATTGATTGCAGAGACTTCACTTGTTTTGAGACTACTATCATTCGTAGCAACGTGTGGTTCATCTTGACCGCATACCACTGACCCCTTGGTTCGTACAATTTCTTGTCGTAGTTCAGTGTGTTGCCGTATTTTTATTTCTAAATCTGCTATTTGTGAAAGTAGCCATGACCAACGCGCGGCTATCGCTGCTCGATCACGTGAATACCGCCATGCTGCACGCTTTGCACTATAAAACAATAATAAATATATTTTCAAAGTTTACATTCACAGTTTTTAGAGAAAAATGTCCTACAACATATACAAGGAATACTCACATGGCTAATGGCTGTTGTATTTGATTATTATAGGTGACCATTTCATCGGCAGATTCACCACCAGAACTTGATTCTGTCGCATCCGAGTCCATTGCCGTCTGCACCTCACGCATTTCTGTTTGCAGCAGCCCAGCAACCTGAGCCAACTCTTCGCTGACATTTATATCGTAATTGGGAACCACAATTTCTCCTTTACGTTCAACCGACGYCGATAATGACGTCGTCGCTGTGGACATTGACGAAGCCGTTTGCATATCTTGTAATAATGCCTTCTTAGATTTACGCGACATTTGCGTACTTGCCACACTCAAATTGCTATTTGTGGGAACCATGCACAGCTGTTGGGCATTCGAAGACTGTTCTAAGCGCCGTAACATAGTTGTCATTTGTGTTGAAGCCACAGGATTCTTTTCATCTGCCCAATTATTGGCGGGAGGTCTCGCTGCTATGACACTGATTGCGGTATCAGGACATAATAAATCCGAAACTCTATTCATGGCATTACCTTTACCCACAGATATACGTGCTGTCCACTCAAACAAGCCAGCAATTTCTTCGCTGCAATGCTTGCTCATATAACGCGATTGTATTTTTCGCAAGCGCCTTAATAGAAAATCGATTTTGCGATGCATCGCTTGTTGATTACGCTCGATTTCACTTTGCATTTCCTTTAAGGGGCTTGGTTTGTTCGATGTAGATGCAACTTGGCTGCCGACGTCTTCGTATAGTGTGTACTCTTCGTTAAATAGTACATTTAAGTCGCAGAGCGTATCAGCGCCAGCGCTACCATCGAAACCTTTAAGAACTTTCAACACCTCCTCTAAATCTTGATCCTCTAGTTCCCCGGCACCACCCTCTTTCATAAACGCTGGTGGCAAATTCGTGCTATTCAATGTATTCACCGACGATGTGCTACTTTGCGGTGTAAAAGAGTGTTGTAGCTGGCGTACTTGATTCGATAATGGCGTTGGTGGGGTTTGTTGCAATTGCAGCTGCAACTGCTGCACCTGTTGGTGATGTGTTTGATGCTTTGTTGGTGTACACGGTGGCGTAGTTGATACAGGGAGGTTTACAATGCTTCCGCTTACTGGAGTAATGCCCTCATCACAAGTTGGCGATGCCATGGCCGTACCATCCAACTGACTTAATCGCTCTGAATAATTATATTGAAAATAATAATAAAATTGATCCAAGATAATTACGATATTTCGAAAGAAAAACATAACCTACCTTCAAGATTATCCTCCACTTCAGAGGCAGTCATAGTTGAATCTGTACTTATTGGCGGCAGAACGTCCACCGACAATATTTGAATACGCGTTGTAGCATCTGATTTCAAAGTTCCCGAGTTTCCCTTCACAGAATCAGCATTTACTTCTTCATTTGGAATAGTCGGTGTAACCTTTGATAGCCCCTGAGTGGTTACAGTCACATCACTAAATCTTGTTTTCTCCTTGCTTATTGTTATCTTTTGTGCTTGCGCTTTGGAGGATCCTATACAATTTTCGCTTTTTTCATTACATTCAGTAAGTAACTCTACTTCCATATGTTGGCGTTCGTCTCCTTGTGAAGATTGTGCGATACTCGGACTTACAGCAGCGTTTATTTTATTTGCTTCTTTTCCACAAATTTTTAGATTGGTGAATTCTTTCGTCTCCGAATTTGTACTTGTTAGAACATTTGATTTATTTGAGCCGTTCTTCCCCACTGCGACTTCTTGAAGATGTTTACGAATACAAACTTTCGTTGTTATGCTCTCTTCAATATCATTTGTCAAATCGGCTAAAAGCTGTTCCGTTGAATTACTTTTACAGCTTATACTGGTATTGTTATTATTGTTAATATTAGATTCGGTTTCTTTGCAGAGCGTCTCACTCGCCTCTGCGTCCGAAAATATTGCCTCGACAATATTTTTGTCATTACCAATACTAATGCTCTTATTGTGTGGAATTACGCTTAGGCCCATTGGCTCATTACTGGTGKTATCTTCCTTTTGAGTCTCCCTTTTCTCACCGTCTGCCAAACTGGTATCTAGTACCGTTGTGTTTTTCTTGTCTGCCAAGGTGTTGATTAATTGTTTCGATTTTTGCGCAACTAAAGAAGTTGGCGAGACTGCTTGTTCAAAAACTCGTTGATAAGCGTCCTTTGATCTGGTTATCCGTGTCGAATTAGATGTCGAGGATGACGGTGTTGGAGTAGAGGCCGAAGATCGACGGTATCCTTTCACTTTTWGTTCACTATTGGTGTTGAGGGATGTCGACGTTGTTGAGACTGATTCGGTAGCACTTTTAGTCGAACGAGATGGTGGTGCGACTTTTGCCGTCGAGTTGGAAAGTTTTTCCGTGGGGCTCATTGGCTCGTTGAGCGCTGGTGCCATAGTTTTACTACCAGAAGCTGCTTCATCTGGCTTCTCGATGATCGCAGCGTCAGCAGCCACGATACTATCATACGCAGCGTCTGTCAATGCGCTGGCGTTGATTCCACTGTCCACCGCCACCGTTTCGTTCTCAACACCACGACCACTGCCAACTCGTTGACTGCGCCTGCGTATTGCGCGCGTCGTTGTATCAATTGACTTCTCAATTTTTAATGTTTGTTTTTTTCTTTCTGGGTCTATAAATTAAACAGTGTTTGCTACCTGTTTATAAACTTTTCTATGTCGATGTGAATATTCTTTTCCTTTTTGCACAAATGAGCTGATCTCTTTCGCATATGTAGAATTGAGGTTCAAAAGATAATTGCAAGATTGTAATATCCAGTAAATATCGGATAGAATGAAGAGGCTTCCTTCTGAAAAAGATTTATTAAACCGATTTTATTAATCTGTACAGTTTTTAATTGCTTAGTTCATGTCAAATGAGGACACAAAACTATTAAAAGGTCTTACAAATATACAGATAAATAAACGTCAGGATAATCGTAAAAAGGCACAGAATTATTTACACCACAGGAAATTCTAATATACACAGAAACCGCTCATTCATACCCTAATAAATCACTAACCCAGTACGTTGTTTTAAACTTGTTTCTAAATTTTGAGAAATAACGAAAGAGCCAATTAATATTCGGCTTAAGATTATGTTCAATGATGCAACACAACTACAATAATGAACATATTTTTCTTTGGTTATACTAATAGGAATATTAATGAACAAGCATTGGGCTTACTTAAGTTATATATAATATATCCAGTGACACGATTCTAATAACTATATTCAGTTTTATAAATAATGTCTGCTATAATTACAAACCAGGGCCTACTAAGCTGATACAGAGCAGTATATATATCCGGTGAAAAACTGAAATTCGGCTGCATTATCCAAAACAATTTGGTTAAAGTTTCATCTTAACAAATCGACACGACAACCTTATATACTTTACAACGAAAGATATAATAATAATTACAGATATGTTAACTATTTTACAGTAGTAAATGGTATTATTATTATATATATTATATCGTTTTTGCGATTAAGATTGGTATAAATAACCCCAGTTGACTTTAGTTAAATTTCGGTTTGAGTAATCTTAAAATTATTTTTAAGATAGTTTTCGCTACAAATATGCATTTCATTTGACTATTTCCTGATTAACTAATTTTAGTAATATATAGGACATAGAGGAAAAATACTACACCCACAATTTGTTATATATGTAAGAATTTAAGATTTTTATGTTTTTTATGTTATTTATATGAATAAACATTTTTATTAAATTACAGAGTAAATATATTTAATCAAATAGTCAAAAAAAAATACCGGTTGGATTAAGGCATACATAATTAATATCACTTTATAAAAACAGACTGTTGAACATCTCGAGAAAAATGACAAACGTTTAGAATACGTTATAAAAACATTTCCGAAAAACAAATGACTGTAATAGTTATTAAACTTACTAATTTCATCTAATGATTGTTTTTAATGATGAGAATTTACTTTAACATCTCTTCATTAATTTTCGAAGTATTTCGTAATAACACAGATGTTCAAYGTAATCTTAACATCATATATTTTTACATGTTTATAAAAATCTTAAAAAAGAGGGTATCTATCAGAATGTAATTTATATCAAAACATATTACATTTTTTATCTGTTTCATCGAGATGTTCTAATTTCTTCAACCAAATGCTTTAAACGTACACACAATATCATAACCACACAAACATCATACAGTACAGACGCGCATTTGGATTTACAAGGCATTAGACATACCCCGGTACCTACGATTAAAAACAAACACACCAACTCAAGCAAAGTAGTGGATCATTCACAATTGACATGGCACTCATGGCTACAATTGTTATTGCGAACTAGGTAATATAGCAGAAAAACTAACGAGAAGTGGTCATTATAACGAGCTAGAGTAAAGCAAATTTTCAAGCAAACCGAAACAACAATGACAGGCGCACGTGAGCGAAAGAGAAGAATAAAGTACTGCGCAACGACGGAATTAATACAATTGTCATTAAACTGTTCATATATATTTAGTTACGTTACAATTCGAGATGGTATGGCACAATATTCATAACAAGCATGGTAAGGGACGTAATGTCTGGGTACACTCTGCTTCTTAACACTGTCGTCGCTGCTAGCAGAGGCAGCGCACAACATCGTTTCCTTTAGTGTAAAGGGTATGGGAACACTGGTTTAATTCCGCGCACATTATATGCATTCACTTGTAATTGGAATTTCACAAAAGTTTTCTTATTTTCTTTAATTATTTCAAATGTCTAATTTTATAAAATATTTCAACCTTTTTACGTACCTAACACAATACATTCAAAAAATTTGTTGAAAATTTATAAGAGCGCGAGCTTTTTCAATACTGCAAATTGGGAGTATATCATTTAAATTTAAACCTTTTGACGAAATCACAAAATCATAATCGCGCCATACTGCTTGCTAGGGGTTTAGCTTTGGTACAATTCTTCCTCTTCTTTCACCACGAAACGGGAACAGAATTTCGATTGGGTACTTTCATACACTATTTACTTTGAAATTTTTTTTTTTTTGTTTTAGGTTTTATAATGTATTCAGTAAACTTTAAAACCCACTTATGCACTTCAAGTAAGTTCTAAATTGAAAACTTTATATCAAACATTAAATATTCGCAACTATTTCAAATTATTATTTTTTTGTAATTATGGCCGCCTTTATTTTTTCCGGATTCTCTTTTAGATTTAATTAGAGACGAAATGAACGAGTATGTTCACTGTAGAATTACAAAAACAACGAAAACCACTATATGGATAACAAAAGCCAATTCGACATTTGTGAGAAAAATTTTTCCCCAACAAATTCTTACTCCGCTTGCTTTGAATTTTAGTAATTTTAAAATTTCACTTTGTTATCCCCGCACTCCTCGTATAGCAAACACTAATGCCGTTTTCATACTATGCGCACTAAAACAATGGCGGCCGCGATAGCGATTTTTTTATACTGCGCTTTTTAAAAAATATTTATTCACTATAAAGTAATATTTTTTTACTTTGCACATCCGAAATCGAACGAACGCAGTCACTACTAAAACCGACGTGTATCTCCATCACACTGTGAATTAATGGTTGCTGTACTCGTTTTTCCATTTACTCCTTCGCCATCAAACACACATTGCGCGTACTCGTTACCCGATGTGGCGAGTGATCTGTCATCCTGCTCTCAAACAAAATACACACCAACTATCCCTTTTTCTCACATTGACTCGCATTCTACATACGAAAGTTAAAATTCACTCAATTGTAATAAGGCAGTATAAAATCTAATATTAAAAACCATATTCCGCCATATTGCTACCAAACAAACAAAATAAATGCCGATTATTTTACTTATTTACCAAGAAAATCGTTTAGATAAAATCATTTATTGGRATGAATACGAATACCAATATTTACTAGGTATGGCATCACTTTGTCGGTGAAATAACACACACTTCATTCTGCATTATTTCAGCGACGAATTATGTATTTAATTATTTCTGTATCCTCTTATTGCAATCATTTTAATTCAAATAAACTTCTAGAAAAACTCGTCAACTAGAAATTACTTTTTTCAAATCCAATGTCTAATGGTACAAACTTATATTCATTGATCAAGTGGAAATATGCAATAGTCACGCTTTTCTTCTACAAACCACTGCCTTATCTACATTTCAGAGTTGCATCCACAATAACAATAGTTTAATCAAGAACATGATGATTTTGAAACTTTCCTCTGAATTTTGAAGATTGGAATAGTTATAGTCCTTAACGTTTAATTGTAAATGCTTTGAAAGTATAATCTGGTATTTCTTTCGTTTCCGAAAAGACGGCTTTGTCTATACGCGATTTCGGACTGCCTTTGGTTTCCAACCARTTTTTCCTAATAGAGCAAATAAATATTAAAGTCTCATAAACCAAATATATGCTTACATTTCATTGACTTTATCGAGTTCTCCTTCCATTTGACCACGCACGGTACCCTGAGAAGTGTTCATGCACCAACCACGTAGTCCAAACAATTTTGCTTGTTTTTCGGTATGCTTTTTTCGTAAAAGAAGCATACAATAATGTAATAAATTTAATAAACAATAACGCTAATGAAACCATACCTTTCTGAAAAATACTCCTACCCGTCAACATTTTGAAAAATGAAAATACCAGTTATTTAGTATAAAATAATACAACAATTTCATCCATTGATATTTACCTTGTACTTTTCCAAAGACTTCAAAATTTGTGCTAAATATATGTTTTGTAGACATTTCGGTTTCTTTATATGAATTTATAGACTCTACTATTGATTGAGACTTATAGGCAACACAAAATATTATTGTAACAACAAAAAATTTTATGAAAAGTAATTCAATGGAGCCGAATAATTTACTAGCTGCCATAACAACACAGTGAATTTTTGTATTTTTATGAAAGTTAAAAAACCGAAATCAGCTGTTCAATCATAAGGAAATGTTTGACAGTGCTCCATATTTGCTAAAGTAGATATATAAAATCTTAACCCTTAACTTTACACATTAATGTGAAGATGATAAACATACTATATTTGGCTAATAAACTAACTTTTAGATTATTTAACAGATGCGTAAATAATTTTTCGACATATTTTTTTTTACCCAGTTATGTCAACGAATTATATGGACACATTTAAATGAAAAATGCCGATACAAATTATAATTTTTATGGTTTCCTTTCTCACCCGAACTTGTATTTGTTATTTGGCTTTATTCAATTACTTCACGAGTTTTTTGTTCGAAGTTAAAGCAAATAACTTAAATATATTATGTTAATGATTTCAAGCAACTTAATATCGATAGCTAGATGTGGATATTCAGTGGGATTCAGTAAGATGAAGAAGGTTAATTAACTTAAATATATTATGTTATTTTTTGCTGTGCGGCAACAAAATAACATCTAATTGCTTTGCTTTATCTAGTTAAATTGGCAGCAGAAATTTCGTTGTTTTCAATAGTCGGATATAAATGCCGTTACGTTCTGGTGCGAACAAGTACAGTAGTTTATATACATATATGTTTTTTTTTCTATTTGTGTAACTTAACTTGTTTTCCTTCAAAGCAGACAATCTCTAATACATTTTTGAAAATCAAGTATAGCTATCATTCAAATCCACTTGATAAATTTACATGTAAAATTAATTTTTTTACAGATTATTTCTTAAATTGGTTCCAATAGTAAGTTTTATTTGAAAATCAAATTTTTCTTGCACGAGTAATTTACAGTCTAACACACAAAAAGAAAAGTGTATAAATTTTTTTGTATTAAATTTTGAAAGAAGTAAGAGTGGTGAATTTTGAAAGAAGAAGTGAAAGTTATATTATTAGGAAAAGTAAACTTCATCTGCTTACACTAAGTCAGGTCTACAAAGTCTAAAAGTTTAGTGAGATTCATAATATTTAATATTTTTTCACCTAATTAACGTTTACACGTTCCACCATAAAATGCATTTATCCCTTTGTGTATAAATTTTTCTTTATTATACATATGTATGTATATATACATATATCTTATGAATCCATACATTATGTGTATCTTTTTTATATATATATAGCATAAAACATATTCATAAGATGATAGTAAATTAAAAAAATACTTTAGTAGTAAACCTATATTTTTAAATAAATTGTCTACTGCGAAGAGTCTAATCGCTGCCGAAACCAGTTGAAAGTTTCGTCTTAGCGAGCGTCTGTGCTACCATGAATGTATTGCTCATTAACATCGCAACTGTCATCGGTCCAACTCCGCCTGGCACCGGCGTTATGTGGCCAGCTACTTTACGCACCTCTGTAATGGAAAATAATTAAATTAGACTTTAACCAATAAATACTTCGAATTCGTTACTCACCATCAAAATCGACGTCACCGACAAGCTTGGTTTTACCTGGCTCTGTTCCGGGTATGCGTGTTATTCCAATATCTATAACGCACGCACCAGCCTTAACCATATCACGGCGCACAAGTCCCGGCTTGCCAACAGCGGTAATAATTATATCAGCATTCTGACAATGTTTTTTAAGTTGCTCAGGTGGCGTATTGCGATGACATATGGTTACTGTGGCATCCATACCCTTCGATACATGTCGACCATCTGTATGTAACAGCATCGCTGTTGGCATGCCTACATTCTTGGAACGTCCAATTACCACTACATTCTTGCCAAATGTGGGTATTTCGGTACGTCGTAACAACTCATACACTCCCAAAGGTGTTGCTGGTACAATGCTCTTCATATCGAGTGCTAAGCGGCCGACATTTATCTCGTTAAAACCATCAACGTCCTTCGACGGCGCTATAGCATTACAAATGGTATGTTCATCAATGTGATCCGGTACAGGTAACTGAACTAGAATACCATCAACAGTTGTATCTCCATTTAACTTCCTAATGTACTGTAAAACCTCCTCCTGGCTAGTGGTATCGGCCAAATCGATGGTGTTGCTAATTATACCAACGGTTTTAGCAGCAAGCATCTTATTTTTTACATATGTCTGGCTAGCTGGATCCGTGCCAATTAAAATAGCGGTTAGCCTTGGTGCACGATTTCCCTGTGCTATATAATCCGAAATCTTTTCCTTGAGCTCATTCTTAATTTTATCGGCAATAGCCTTTCCATCGATGATTTTCGCCTCATGACTGTAAATCAAAAAATAAAAAATGACTTTTTATAGTTATTGTTTTAACCGCATTTTAAAAATAATTGAATACGAAAAAATCAAATTTTATAACTTTTACATAAATAATTAATAGCATAGTACCTACCTAAATGAATACAATGTGCACAGTTTTATTTTAAACCATTTTATTATTTATGATAAAATGAGTGCTTCATATTTAATAATTGAACACTGTATATACATATATGGACATGTACACCCATACATATATTCATTTAAAATTGAGGTTATCTGAGGTCGTAAAAAAATCCCCAACGTTGTCACGTTCCTATATCATACAAAAACCTTTCAATATACACACATATTTATGTATAAACCTATATGTTTGCATCTGCATATTTATTAGAATTTGCAATAGTCACATGAGAAAATCTCTTTGACATGCTGCTACGGATGTCAAATGCTACGGACTTTTATTACAATGTTTTTTATAGAATTCTTATAAGGAGCCTGATAGATTTCAAATTAGTAACATAAGAGCATCTTAGTCTAATGTTCTCTTTTCACAAATGTTCTAAAGTATTAATACCGTTATTAACACGTTTAGTAAAGTTGAAAACTTTCAAACCAATAAATTTTAAAAAATTATTTGTTTCACGATGTTTGTAATACCCAAACAGAAAGGTCGGAGTCCCTAAAAAGTATGAATAGCTCCTTGGAAAGAGCACATGCATAAAATTTTGACTCGATATTTTCGGCGGAAGTTCCTATATATAGTATACTGACAGTCAGACGGACACGGCTTAAACGACTCAATTTAACACRGTGATCATTTGTATATAACAACGTGATGTAACTGTGTGTGGTATTATAGCTTCGGTGCAGCTATACGAATATAGTCTTGCTTTTTATGTTCTAATTCAAATGTATAATCCATTCATCGAAATTTTTGTATGCAGGTATGCAACCACTGTTGATGCAACGGTTATTTAAATAATTTTAAGCGTTTGTTTCTGGTTCTCTTTCATATTATCTAACGGTTTATCCAGGAAATGCACTTTTTGATATACATATGTATGTGAGCAGAAGTAAGTGTAATATACATACATATATAAGTATATATGTACTATATAATATCTTCCGTCAAAATATATTAGTAATCTTTTTTATACATATAATACTATTTGGTTATATTTCATTTCATTTCGCATATTTATCAAAAATTTCAATAGTTAAAACAAGTGAAAACGATAGCTGTTCATATTTTAGTTCTAAAGAATCAGACTTGCAGAAAAGTTGTTCAGCAATTAAAAGCAAATGGMCCTCAACAAACTTGGATCGATTTCTGAGAAAATGTGATGTATGTATGTATTAAGAATGCACATACACTAATAATGCAAAAGCTACACAAAAAGTATGGGGTATGTAAAGCATTCATGACATCGCGCCAATGAATAACTCAAGGGGATTCACATACTCATATATTTGTTGTTCATTCGAAATAACAGTCATTGCACAATAAATAATTATTTGCTAGTATATGTACATATAACTGGGGATTTACCCATGCACATATGTTGTTCCAATGTAAATAGAAATAAACAACATACATTTGGTGACGTTTTCTCGTAGAAATTRTTGGGGGCTTGTAAGTAAATCCCCGCAAAATATGCGGAAGAGTTTGCGGAAAACAAAAATATTTATTAATCATGTTACATACCTCTTTATCATAAAACCCATTATCATATCTCATATGATCACATAATTTTTCGAAAACTAATGAAACATGTGCGTATGTTATGTACATCTGCGTAAATAAGTTTATTCATTATACATACACTAATTATTATATAATAGTACAATTTGGAATTATTTTTATTCTTTATAAATAGAAGTAGATAAGTTATACGAACAAATTATAAGTTGGCCAGTAAATAGTAATTAAAACTTGTTTGTAGTACTTGACAATGCAAAAAAAAAAAAAATCTAAACGCCTTAATAACGCATATATAATTATAAGTTAAATTTTCTCTACGTTTAAGTATGTACATATTTATATATTTTGTAGCAGCTTTAAGATCTGTATATCTACAAGGCCTAAGGCATTGATGAAAACGTCATATTCAATGTTTTTACGCATATAATCTAGCATATCGTCGGCTTTGTTCCACAAACAAAGTAAATGTTGCATTTTGCAGGGCACAGCTAGCTGCTTCCATTTATCTTGCACACTTAAAGCAGCAACTAGATTCCGATATTTTTGTGCATCGCACAACAACTCCTCAAAAGTAGTCGGTTGCTTATTTACGGCATTGTGATTGTCCACTTCATTCAGCCCCATGCCTTTAAATTCGTCCTTAACTCTGATTTTTCCCCTCTCTTTAGCTTCATCGAATGAATTCGATGTTCCTTCTTCGTCTTCTTCACCGGAAGTTGAAGACATTTCCTCTTCTTTAACAAYAAAATTAACAGTGTCAACGGCTTTGTAACCTAACGATGTGAAATATGTGATAATTTGCGTGCCCACTTTTGTCTTAAGCTCTTTAGCTAAGTCACCAGCATTACGTCCAGCTGCATTGGATGCATGCATGAGTTCGATTACATTTTGTGTTGCAGTTTCTAAAATCAACTTAACAAACTCATAATCTGATTGCAATACGGCCATATGTAGGRCATTGTTTTGTTCCTTAGCATTTGGTACAAGTGCTGCTCGGTGATCATGTTGCAATAACTTTTTAGCCACGTCATAATTCCTTTGTCGAATAGCTAAATGCAGTGGTGTAAAGCCTTCGTCGTTCTTAATCGCCAAATTTAGGCGTACACCACTATTSAGAAAACTTTCAGTACATTTATCATGTTGTTCTTTAACTGCAATATGCAGTGCTGTGTTACCATCATGATTTTGAATATTTGGATCGCAAGCGAGTCCTAATAAAGGGCGTATATAATTGACTCGATTGTGTAAGCATGCAGTATGCAGAGCGCTTTCATTGCGTGCATTCAGCACTTTACTAAAGAGGTATGTTAGCTTGAAGTATTCCAATACATGACATATTTTTATGACCAATTTCGGATTATCACTAGCTATAATTTCATGGAGAATGCTTTCACGGAATTCATTTCTTTCCGAATGCTCCATAAATATATCATCGATTTCTTTTGCTGCTTTTGCTTTCGTTAATTCGTTTTCACTTTTATTTTTCGATGTTCTTATATCATCGAATATTTTAAATATTTTTTGTAAATAGCTATTGCGCTGTACATCCATAGGTGCTACCAATATAGATTTCATATACTCTTTACGTAAATCACTAGATACTTGTCGGTTTGAAAAGGATGTCGTGGACACACCATCCTCTACTAGAGTTCCAGTAAGATTATTGGTAGGAGTTCCAGGTCCAGAGAGTTCATTATAAATATCTATGATRCCCGATATGTTGCCAATAGAATCTATTCTGCATATATTTTCGAGTTCTTCGGAATTCATTTGCATACATTCTTTAAACGTATCGCTACCTATCAATCGATTGATTTGTAAATTTTTGTCATATTCTTCACTAATAGTTGGATTATTCATTCTATAATCACCACCTTCACCTTCAGTGTTTCCAAGTTGCATTTGTATTTGACGGTTTTCCACTTTTACGTTAGCAGTTTGTTCCTGTACTGGTTTTGGTAATTCAAATGAACTTAAAGAGCTGCCAGAACCAGAACTGCTAGTGGACCTCGAGCAGGTTCGACGTCGTTTCCGCGAAACAATAACGTCACGAGGCTTATAACGGAAAGTTACCGGTGGATAACTACGTTCATCATCTGTAGGACGTACCAATTCTATACAAACATCTACAGGCTTATCAATATCCTTGTCTTTGTATGGCGGAGTTTGACAAACAATTGCGTATTGGTGATGGACGTCAGACTCCCGGAATTTACCATATGCTTCCCACACCAGGTCTTCGTCATCGTTGAATTCATAGAAACGTACTTTTATATTTTTCTTGCTAACTTTCTCAACCAGAAGAATGAGATCATCGCCGCCAGACACACTTCCGGTAGCAATACTTAAACGACATATGCGTAGTTCACCAGTTTGTGCCGATTTACGGTTGTTGATAGGGTTTGTATATACCGGAGCAGCTATACGAGTGTAAGTGTCATCATCTTCCACTTTGAACGCTTCAAAACATAAACGCACCTATAAGAGTTGAATAAGTTTTAAAAATATARAAAGTCACATTCCTTACAATGTTGTTTACCTGATTGAGGTTCATTTCCTTTGACTCTTTTTCTGTTTCTTTATGTAACTCTTGTACTTCTTTTGTAGTTAATTCATCACGGGCCAATTCAAATTTCAATCTGTTCATTTTCTTATTTAATAATTCATCAAAAATAAACTTCTTTGCTGTGTGTATGATTCCCATATTTTGAAATTGTGCCACGTACCCACGTTCGGGTGAAACAATCAAACTATGTGGATCACAAATGTCAGTATCATCTTTACGCACTACTAACTGATGGGAGTGTGGACTTTCCAGATTGGTTTGAAAGAGGCTACATCGTATAACAGCTTTACCATTAAAATTACACAATTCTACTTCTGGGAATGTTTTTGGCGTACGCTTGGAATTGGCACCATTCAACGAACCATGTGTTCCGTGCATTTCAGATTTATAACGAAAACGAAATTTTTCCACAGGATGTTCAAGTATACGCAGCTCCGCAGGATATTTCCCATTTGATGTTATTGTTTTCATCGCCGTTCCAGAAATATTTGTGAACATGTGTGATGATTGTGTAGGAAGTCCACCGAATTGAYGTTGTGGTAATGTAACCATTGCTGAAGGYATTCCCATGACCGGTGCGAAATTCATACAATTATTTGTTGCATTTAAGGGATGAGAATTTTGATTATACAACAGGGTTGCATTTTGCAATGTGGCGTAAGAAGGTTGATTGTGTGTTGACTCGGAGGGTAAGTTCATATTTGAAAATTCTGTTCGTAATTGAGACGATGGAGACTGTGATGGTGACGTTGGGTTTGACTGCACGCTATTATATCCAGGTGACATTGTTGAATATCCACTAGTACTAGCATTTGATGATTCGCTTACGTAGCGAATACTGTGCGTATCCATATCTATRTATTCGTTTATCATTTTGAATATTTTGATTGTTTATCTTTTTCTTTTGATATGGAGATAACTTTATTGTTATATAGTATGCATGTATAAAAGTGTGTGTAATGATATTTATAATATTCAACGTTGAATCACTTCTAATTTCACGTTGTCACGATTACGACACTGAATACTATAATGTTACTTTATATTGACTCTAACACTAAGCACAATTCAAAGAACTTAAACACATGTAAGTACATGTGTCTTTCATATTTTAACTACTTGTCTTGCAGGCTTGAACTTTTTGCGCAATTAACAACYGACTTGATCAAGTGATCAAATTAAAATGAATGTTGTTGAATTCATTCGTTGTTCATCGTGATGAGGCATCGCCATTTGAGATAGGTTCTTCCCCGAGGTTGGTATTTCTCTCCAATTGCTTGTGGTCGGGTAGTTCGTTCGTACAAATTACGATCGTGCAAACAGGTAACGAACTTAATCGGTGAATCACATTTATGAAAATAAACACTTTATACGTTTGCTTATTAATAATTTCTCGCAATGTTTTTCCTTTAATAACATTACATATATTAAGTTTGTTTTTATCAAAACGTTTCAATTATTCCGCGATTTAAAAATTACGTCTGCAACCAAACACAAATGTGCCTACATTACTTCCCACAAGAGATTGGTATACTTTCAATAAAGCTTTTACCAAAGATTACATTAGTATGGATGTCGTTATCGATACTTTTAATTGTTAAACATTCTGTAACTTTTGCGCCATTAAATATTCCTTTACACTTARCTATATACAATTATACGGCTTTAGTATATTTTAATTATAGTGAATTAAACTAAATCATTAAAATGTCGTCATGAGGATAACGATTATATAATATCTACATAACTATCGAATGTGTCGATCACTAATATACATATACTCGAGAAATAACAAATATGTATATACATATGTATGTATATAATAGACACGGTTACCTTGTCAAACGAGCTTTTATAGATAAAGTAKTAACTCGAAAATACGAACAAATGATAAACTGGACATCGCTACATCGACTACTCTAAAAATAAGTTATTCAAATTTTAATTCGATTCTAGATATATAATAGGCATTTCAAATACACTTCTATAAACGCAGTAAGTTTCCACCAAAATATGTATTAGCTTAAAAATTAAAAGATACAATTACAATACGTTCGACATCCTAAATAATTTGTTCATGTGAAAATTTTTTTAATATTTTCGTGTTTTAAATTCGAGGTAGTAAGCTCCTCCTGCAAGTCAACTATCGATTTTATTGCACGTTAATTATTCAAGAGCGGTACCAGATTTGAACCAGACATCATATACATATGTATATGAGATCACTACTAAAGTCGATTGAAATCAATAGACATTAACAAATATGTTATAGAAAATATTAAACTTGTCCCTACTTAAATTTTTTTGAATATTTTCTATTATTTTTTGGCATATTTTAAAAAGATGTTCAGCATTTTTTTTATTATAATTATTAGTATTAATTATATTTTAAACTTTCAATTCAATTTTACCCGCCCCCCGCATTAAATCAGGGAGAATCGAGTATATCGCCAACATTGTAGACGATAAAAAATGCAGAATGAAGGTGTTAAAAATGCCTACACAATTTTCTTTCATTCAACTAGCAATATTATTTACACAAACAAACCTGCTGAAAGAAAAACTTTTTGTCACATGTTTGCACTTAAGTAGGCTCATTGGCTGTGTTGTGCAATTGCAAATTTGCAATGCATACCGAATTTTCAAACGTAAAAACATTAAATCTGCACAGAACTAAAACGACACACAGCTGTTTTTTGACATTTGACTACCATTGTGAGGTGGTGTCAAATTGTTGTTCACCAACCTCGTGTTTACACACTCACACAAACAGGTAAATACAAAAACCATACGATACGTATGTATATGTATGTTTCAAAGCGCGCACGTTTTTTAAAACACTTAATAGTTAAGATGCGCTATAGCAATGCCAAGTGAATAAGGTGGTTAATGTATATTACATTCTAGAATATATCGTATTATGATTACACATTTTTGCTTAACTCAATTTCAATTATTATTTAATACATTACTAAGATAAAAAAAGATCAAATACCTTATTTCAAAATCTGCCATTTTCACAACTTAAAAACAAACAGTTGTCCAATTTTATCCACACAATCAAAGCAACCAGCGCCAATAAACTATAATKCTACTTTACCTCAACGAAGCAAATTTACAGATATTTTTACTCGTAGTAATTCTCCAAATTACGATTTCGAGTCAAACTATTCACTTGGCTCAAATCAACTCTCTGCATATATGTACATATGTACATACCTTTATGTGAATTGCGTACTATTACCTGTCTGTTCTCTATTGTTACGTTTGGGAACAGCAGACTTCTTATTTGATATCATGCTCAAAAACAACAACAAGCACGGAAACAAATTTTGCGTCGATCAGCCAGAGAATGTATATCAGCATTATACTCACATTCACACTTAACTTATCCAATAGCAATTTAATTGTGCAAAATGAGTTGAGTTGTTTTGTTTTTTAATTTACAAAATGGTATTGCCACATGAAACTTAAATATGTATAAGCATATTAAAATATATTTAAAAAATGTGCTGTGTGAATTTCATATAATAATATCCGTGGTGGAAAATTTGAAATTTTTTTGTTTGAATATTTCTAAATAAATTGATAAAAATGCCCACTTTTGTTACCAATCAACGATTGTTGTTGTTGTTGATGATAAGGAGGAGGCAAAACAAATTAAATTATGATGAAATGCTATAAGATTTTGCATTCGAGATTACAAGAACATTTACACGTGTGCATATACATATGAATGCTTTTACTACATAAAAAAATTGGTATTATTTAACATATAGCGCAGGAAGTTGTAATGTAGTATATATGTATATGCAGTAATAAAAGTAAAAGTATAGACATACATATGTATGTACGTTTAACTCTAAAACATCTATACTACCAATAAGTTWAAAAAAAGTAAACTTTTTTTCTAATAATAACTCAGATAATAATTTTAAAACTCAGATTTCACTTTTCTAAAAGAATCCTGTTACTTGCGGTATAACTTCAAGAATACCGTTAGGGAACCCTCATTTAAAAACTCATTTCAAATGAAATATACATACATACATATGTATTAATACCAATTAAACAAATACAATTTTGACTTTTGATGCTTTCAAAATTAATCTCTTCAAATGCCTTAAACATGCTCACATATATTCAGATCTAGGCAATTGATAAAATAATCTTTCATCAGCCTTCTAAGGTCGGGGGAAGACATTGATAACGAAGCGACTACTGAGGTGAATCATAAAGCGATTTACGTACATATATACATACATATAATTACAGAGGTAAATATGCGTATTCAGAGGTAAACTGTTAAGACAACTTAAACATCAAAAAACAAATTTTGCTCTTCTATAGAATGCAGGTAATATTAGGAAAATATAATTACCTCTGTTTTTTAAATAATAGTATTAGAGATGCTCTAAATATCTACATACATGCATACTTGCACATCTTCCGAGTAGCAGACGGCTAGACAGAAATGCACTCAGCAACAGCTTTAAGTTGTTAAGAAATTCTGCTGGAAAACATGTTTTTAATAACTGCACATTGTTTTTATTACATTTTAAATATTCAGACTGATAAGTAACAGATCATTCTGCCGTCATAGATTAAATAGGGTGTGTGCGAGTATATCCCGTGCGTCAGGACAACAACAAAGCAGGCTTTAGAGAGGTCATTACTTGTGAAAAACATTCATACATTTTTAAACAAATATAAATACAATACTAATACATTTTTTGTTTTTTGCAATTTTTAACAATTCTAGTGGCACTTTTATACAAATATATGCATATTGTTTTTATTCAACCACAGCTTAAAAAGAATTAGACAATTTACCCTAGTTTCGAGTTTGGTTTATATTGTTGCCTGATATTAATTGTTATTGTGCTTTTAATTATTTATTAAAACAAATTGCTAATGTAAATGTTGAGCCTCAATAAAATGTTTGGGCATTTTCAATAACTTACCTAATTTTCAAACGCATCTTGCAAATTTTTCTTTTATAATTTATAAGATTTTTGCTTTAATTACACTTACTGTTATAATTTTGAAACAACTCAATCTAGCAATTTATCGAAAATTAAAAAATAGCTTTAGAACATAAATTTTTAGCTGATCAATAGCGCTTTCAACAATGAATGAGAAAATAATGATTTTTAAAAGTAAAACCAGAAACAATTTAAAGCTTTTATAGAATGTTAAGTCAAGAGATGTTAAAGCTGAGCGAGTTGATTAAATACTGATAGGCAACAATAGACAAATTCGCCGTAACTCATGAAATTTATTGACAAATAACTAAATAAATAATTTTTTTTCTTTTGGAAATAATATTTTCTACGCAGTGATTTTTTATACTGCATACACAATATCTAACGAATTGTTTTTAWACGTTTGCACAAACAATAAATACAATAGGTTTACAAAGTATGTAAAAAATAAAGAGATTGCATGCATTTATAGAAAATTATAATAAATTTATAAACCAAATATATATGGAAGATTTGTGAATACATTTACAATAGTATATTCATATATGCATATTGAAAATACATTAAACTAAAGTATTAATAAAAATATTTTTTTATGAAATTTTTTGTTAAGCGTTGACGTTATGAAATAAAAAAAAAAATATAGAAGGAACTTTTGCGAAAATAAACAAATGTATAACAGTTTCATAAATATTATATTTACTGCGTTGAATTTGAATATATGGTCGCCCTGTGCCTCGAACGATTAGACGCATTTATGTAAGTATATTACTTAGGCGAGAAACTTTAATAAACGCATTTTGGTGACAGTGTACGTATTTAAATTTGAGGACAAAAGACTAGATATATAGAAAATAATGGCCGATGATACCAATGAAGACAGCTGGCTTTATGGCACATCGAATCCTGATTCTACAACGAATGAAGAGAATGTTGAAGCAGCAGCCGGCATTGGCGATGAAAGACCGCTTCTTTCGCAAAAATCAGAAAATGAAGCAACCGCTTTGGGGGGAGCAAGTGAAGCAATAGTGCCACCACTGGGGGGGTCTGCTGATGAAGAGGAACCATTTGGGGAATTCGAAGATCCAGCACAAGAAATGGAAGAGGATGAAGAAGCCGCAGCTGCAGCTGCTAGCACAGTGGCTGATACTACTGATGGCGACGATGATACGGGCGAAAACGCACAAAAGGTAAACATTTAAAAGTAAATTATTTATTGACGTATTTATTATATTGATGTTTATAACCTTTTAGTCGAAAAGTTCGGAAGATGGTGAGGCGAATTCTGACGATGACGACGATTCCGACGATGATATTAATGTGGTAATTGGTGATATAAAAGCAGCACCCAGCACGTATAATATTAAGCAGCGAGCAAATTTATTGGGTGGACCACCAGGATCAGTCCAAGAAAAGACCAAGTCTGGCGCGCCAGGCGGAAAATTCAGTGTTGAAGACTTTGAAGGCGTTGGTACAATAAACGGTGTTCCAGCACATGAATTTAGTATTGATTCCTTAGAAGATAAACCGTGGCGAAAACCTGGAGCGGATATAACAGATTATTTTAATTACGGTTTCAATGAAGAGACCTGGCGTGCTTATTGTGAACGACAGAAAAGATTTCGTATTCAAGAAAGTGGTGTTGGCTTGGCTAGTTTAACACAAAATATAAATCAATCTGGTGAAAGACAGCATGACGGTCCTGCAAATGGTGCGCCAATTACCACAATGACACAAGGGATGGTGCCGGATCAGATGCAATTGCCACCACCAGGAATTTTGCCACCACCTCAAGGTATGCATCATGGACCGCCTCGTATGGGAATGGGTATGCCACGTGGACCAAGACCAATTGTCAGTACAAACAGTAAAGAGAATCCTATCCAAGTAATGACAGCTGAATGTCGGGAATATTCACGTCCTGGTACGGTATCACAAATACCAACAAATTTTGGTGCACCACCGCCTAATGACGAACCGTATTTCCCGGAACCCGAAACATTTGACTATGGTTATGAGCCTACACAAGAGTCACAATGGAATAATGAAAATCCAAATTGGATGCCTTCAGGAATAAAAGAGTTGACGCCCGGGCCTAGTATGGCACCACCACCTGCAGCTGGTATGGCTGGGCCACCTGGTGTGCCACCAATGGGTGTCCCCCCACCACAAATGCGGCAACATCCACCGTTATTACCTGGGATGCCTCCACCAAATATGGGTAAGTAATTTACTTTGTTTAATAAAATCTTTATCTCATTAGTAATTTAAATCTTTAATTCAGCCATGGGGCCACCTCCACCAGGTATGGGCATGATGATGGGTCCCGGAGGAGCACCACCAATGAGAATGCCGATGGGGCCACCACGAATGATGGCTCCACATGGTGGTGGGCAACCAAATCCCGTTCTTATGGATCGCGAACGGCACGAGCGTGAGCGTGAAAGAGAGCGCGAATATGAGCGTACGGACCGAAGAGATAGAGACAGGGATCGCGACCGTGAAAGAGATCGAGAAACCGAAAGAGAGCGGGAACGTGAACGAGAGCGAGAAAGAGAACGTGAAAGGTAAGAGAATTAAAGAAGTTATATTATATTATAACATAATTTGTTTTTTAGACCACGACGTGAACGTTCGCGTAGCCGTGAAAAAACCCGAAGACGATCGAAATCGCGTGAAAAAGAGCGTGATCGCGAACGAGACAGAGAACGTGAACGTGATCGAGAATCCGAGCGAGAAAGGGAACGAGACAGGAGTGAAAAACTTGATGTACGATAAAAGATTGATAAAAAAAAGGAATATTTATTGCAATTTTTTTAATGGTTTATTTGTTTCTGTCATATAGGACTCTGATCGTGTTGTAGATGAAGAACGTGAACGAAGAAGACGCGATCGAGAGCGAGATCGTGAACGAGAAAGGTGATAGTGTTTATTAATTTTAATTAACTGGAAAATTTAATGAACTTCCGTTACAGGTCGCGGCGAGAGCGCTCACGTAGCCGTGAAAAAACTCGGCGCCGCTCCAAATCTCGTGAAAAAGAGCGTGAGAGAAGCAGTAAAACAAGTAGCACATCTTCAACAAATCGTAGTGACAAGAAAAAATCTCATCGTAAAGATAAAGAAGAAGAAGAGTAAATTACAATATTCCGGTGTAGATGTAAACAGCCTGTTAATTAGAAAAATAAAATATTAAAAGAACACCTAATAGTTTTTGCCAAATTAATAATTGTTCGAAATTAGCAATAATATTTATGACAGAGCAAAGGACATGGACTTAGAAATAATCAGAATAAACGCTACATATAAAATACAAGTTAATACATATCTATGAACTTAAATTTCTGCCCATTGAAACTTAAAAATATACGAATTCGAATTAGACTAAAGTGTTCACTGTTTTGGAGAGGGTAGTTCTTTTTCAGCTTCGGCCCGCTTTTTTTGATCCATTTTTTCTTCTATCGCTTCCAGTCGTTTATTCATGGATCCAAGCGATTCCAAAAGTCCGGTTTGTATTTCCCCGTACCGTTTCATAGCCAAAATTAAACTTTCCTCTATTAACTCGGCTTGGTGGGCGAACTCAGCGTTATCTTGTGAATGCTGTTTCAATTTTTCGGTACATTCGCCTGGTATACTGCGGAAGTATTCAGCGCCTAATGTCGGTTCAAGTTGTTTTACACGATCCAACTGCTCGAATTGTGAATGTAAGTCTGGGGCTATAGCATTTAAATATACTTCTTTTGAACGAACTTGTTGATTCTCTTCTAAGAAATTCGGATCCAAATATTTTTCAAGTTCAGGAGCACGAGCAATTGTTTTTGCAATTTGTTCACGGTTACCAATAACCCCACTTAACATACTATTCACTGTTAGCAATGAGTCGACTACTGTATCGGGTGCGGTTGGTGGTTTGTTTGAATCGCCAGCACTTGCAGAAGCTGTGTTTCCTTCGTCGGGAAGCGGACCCAACATTCGTGATAGTGTATCAATACGCTTTTCAAGTAAATCTAATGCCTCCATTGTTGGTTAAGTTTGTAAGCGGTAACTGAACAAGAATTGTAAAATTGCAGATATTTTCAATGAATGATGTCAACAAATTACTTGTCAAATATTTTGTTTGTGCCTTTTTGACGGCACAGGGCGTACATTATTTATTAACTTTTAAGAATAGCATTCATTATTTTTTACATTTATCTTTTGTAAATATTAACTTTTTATTAAAAACGTGATATGTATGAATTTGTAGCAAAAATACACTCTTTTTAGAAAGAAACCATGTTTCATGCAATGCTATTAAATTCTTATGTTKTGTGTGGTAATTCCATTTCTCTTCGTGAACCCTATTAACCTTTTGAACATCTGAATTCATGAAGATCTTCGCATGTTCATATATACCATGATAAGTGCAAATTAAAAAGTAATTGATAATTAATAAGTTAAATATGCAACCTTCAACAGATTCAGGCTCTGATGAACATACAGAGAACAAAGCTGCTGAAGCGTATGTTAAAGTGACTTACTGTATCTATACTTTGCCTAATATTTTTGATTTTTTCAGGACTCTAAAAATCCCATTCGAAACAGCAAGGAGTGCAAAAATTGCATACCGTGTGTTAAGTGTGGATAAAGAACCACGTCGTAATTTTGTCAAAAAAGAGCTCCTTTTAGTGGGTGATCAAATAGAAGTACATTTTGTTGCCGACCAAGTAAAAAATCTTCGCACAGCAATCACATCATTTTTTGGTGCTCTTCTACTTTGTACGGATACAATAAAAGAATTTGAGTTAAAAAACTTTGACAACGACAATGCCGGAGCACACGCCAGCACCAACTCCACATAGAGCAGTCTATGGTTTTGGTTTTTATTTACTATTTCTTACTCTTTTCATTTTGTATGTCATGTGGGCATTGCTTCCAACAGAGAGTTGGGGTTTGCATTACTTACCTGATAAATACTTTGCTGCATATCTTCCAATACTAATACTCATGGGCATGTTTTTCTTCGAGTTCTTCATATACCCAGGGATAGGACTTGCGATGACACCTAATGTAGATCATCTGGAGTCTGTGATGGATACAACTTTATTACTTCGACATGCAGAAATAGATATAGATGCAAAATCATTGAATGCAAGTTTATGGTCTAGAGTGCGATACGATATACAAGTGACTCCTCGAAAAGAACGTAAAGTGTTGTCAAATTGTAGATATTGCCAGGGCATGCATAAACTACCAGCTGCTCATGAACAAATATCTACATTACGATTTTTAGATTTACAAGATGTTAATCGGAGTATTATGGATTAAAATAAATCATAAATAAATGCAAATATTTTGAGTTTTCACTTTAAAATATATCATGCATGAACTCGTTTATTTAACTACATTAGTTAAGTTCTGTAAAATTTTTTTACGAATATACMCTATTTCCTTCTAGTACGCACAGTTGTCCAGCCAGGTTCAGGTTCTACGAATTCTTCCTGTTGTTTTCTGCGTGTTTGCGATCTTGTTACACGGCTACAACTGGCCAAATCACTGTCATCATCGTCTACCTCCATACCATCTTCTGAGTCACCACTCTCATCCTCTTCGTCTGAAGATGAATCTTCTCCTGCAACTGGTGTATACACAATTTTTACATCTGGGCGCAACCAATMTTTACCCTGTGGTAGTTTGCTTAATTCGCTTTCAATTAGCTCATACTCGCCTTTAAGACAGAGCGCTTTGTAACGCAATAAATTACGGCAGATCTCTGCAAATCAAACATTAATTTTTTTCCCTCCTAAATTAAAATCTTATAGGCTGACCTGGAATCGAGTTGTCATCGCAGATTGTGTCGAACTCCTGATCTAACAAGTCCTCCAAAACATCTTGCAGTTCGCCTTGTGTTATATTTTCATTGCCTATGCAATATTTGTATGTGTAGTCCATAATTTCAATTGCTAGCTGTGAAAAATATTCGAACAATTCATTAGACATACGTATATGTATATATATTTAAACGTATTGGCATTCACTGTACTTGTTGTCCATTACGTCCACCCATTCCATGTTCAACAGCTAGCCGCAAATTTTGCCAGTTGTTGAAGATTTTCTCCAAAACTAAACGGAAATTCTTTTGGAAATCTGCATGGGCCATGTCTCCGAAGTTTTGTTTGGGAAAAAGATTTGCTGTCGCAATTGTCAAAACAAACTCAAGCACATGTGTAAGCAGGGTTGCATACAGAAAAGCTAAATTACCAACAAATCCAAATGTAAATAAATAAATTCGTGTTATTATAAATCAAACTTAAAAAAATGTGTTTTAATAATTAAAAAAGTCGAATATTAAATACAAATTATTGCAAGGCTAATGAAATAAACATATACAATAATAAACAATAAAACTTAATAAATATTAATAAATTGAATTAAAATATTTTTTTTTTTTTAATATTAAACCATAATGTGTAAAGTTTTGGAAGCTAATTTAATTTAAGACATTACTGTATTTGATTGAAACAGCTGATCTTAAGACACTTCTGCGATTTTTCTGTCTACTCAACAAGGGTTAATCAATCATCCAAAACAAAACCTATTTATATATCATTTCATTGTTTTTAATTTTTATTTGCGCGCCATAATTTATTTGGGCATAGGTCAAGTCGAATAATAAATTCGACAAAAAACTTATCTTAATAATGTCTGAGGGCGATATTATTCCACCGCTAAGCGATTCCGAGCAAAATGAGGATTTTGATGACCAAGTTGACGAGGAGGAACTGATTACAGCTCAGAAGGTGTAAAGATAGTTTTGCGTCCATAATTTTTGCAGTATATATTTTTGCTTGTAGGTGTTAGAAATTGTTGAAACGGCTTGGAAAAATGAACTATGTGCACCAGAAATCCTTCAACATCAAACCGACATGTTGGAGCTGATGCTTGGACAGGTAGCACATATGGAGGAGAATATGAAGGATTTGGATAAAAATGATTTTCGATTTATCGTACATCAAATGGAGTTGGAACGTATTCGATATGTCATGGCTAGTTATTTACGGTGTCGCTTACAAAAAATAGAAACCTACACTAGACATATTCTTAATGAAGAGGAAACTAGAGAAGTTGATGAAAAGCGGCTTTCACCGGAAGAGTTCAAGTATGCGCAAGAATTCGCYGACAACGTCGAACAGTACTTTCAGCAAGTGGCGTTGCAGTATATGCCTAATATGCAGCGTGCGGAAGCTGAACAACGCATAGTGCGACCGAATCTAATGAGTCACGTATTCATTAAAGCTAATGTGGATGGTAATTTTGGGACTGCAGTAACTAGTTTAAGATTTTAATAACACAAATTTATTTTTTTTCAGTACCATCTGTTGTCGTTGGCGTTGATGATGAAGAGGTCGATTTGACTGTTGGTTCGCAACACATAATACCTTATCAACTAGTATCCGATCTAATATATAAAAATCAAGCGCAACTAATATAATATTACACCTGTAACACTAGTTTAGATATAATGATGTAAATATACAAATTTTTATTATTTTTTAAATATGTATGTATATATAATATTGGAGTKTTTTATGTCGATTTAATAGTCAATGGTTACAACCTCTCGCCACTGCCAACAATGTTTTTTAACTAAGTGTTTTGGCTAAGTGTATTAAACATAACACGTTTTCGCGTTAATGGTACAGGTGGAGCAGCATGTATTTGTGCAGTGGCCACCTGTTGATCAGCGATATTCATATTGTCGTCAATTGGCTGTCGCATTGGAGAGGCGAGTATACGTTCTAAACGTTCTTTGAATTCGTCTTTTTCACGCATAGTCTGTGTAGTTTGGATAGGTGTGGACGTCAGTTCCAGTGTTTCGAAGCTTTCTATTTCTGTCGAAACTTGTATATCATCGCGCTTCTGTCGCGCTACATTGTAAGACGTTTTCGGTTTAATTGGTTTGGTGTGCATCAACATATCTTTAACAGGTGCGGGAAGTTTTGTTGAGCACAGMTTATCCACCAGCTTCCTGATTTTGTTACGCGTTACATAAAAGTTGGGATATTTCTGTGAGTGGAGAAAAAACATAATTGAAATATTTGCCAGGAAAAAATGTTAACTTTGGTTCCACCGAATCTATAATACTGTTGTTATAATACTCTTCACAGCTGTGTGACACACCTGCTTTAATTTTTGCCGTTTTTCAACCAGTTCCGAGRTCATGCGCTTCATGGCTGCTGTGGATATGGTAGGCGCGTTTGGTTCCAAGCCGGCCGCAATTAAGCGTTTGTTTACCATTCTCTGAGCATCGTTTCGTGTGAAGAGTTTCGGTTTTGGCGGCTCTCTAAGCACAAAAAAATAAGTAGACACAAATAATTTTAAATAAGAAAATTGTRAAATTAATAGTTTTGGGTATATTTATACTTGTGGTTTTTCGCAGCCTCTACTTTCKTCTTTTCTTTGACATTTGCCGGTTTCTGAATAGTTGGAGTTAGTTCCGTTTTACTGCTGCTTTCCTCACTCTCACTACTCAAGCTCTCCGCGATGTCCGTGCTGTCGTTGTCGACTGTAAAGTTTTTAATTATGTGTAGATGTAGAAATTATTAATTAATTTTCAACTCAATACATATGTACCTTTATCATCTAATACCAAATCCGCATTCCCTGTCTTTACAAACGTTCTATTGCTCTCCGCGCTCAACGAATGCAATTCTTCGCGTTGCAAATGCTTCTTATCCGGCAATGCTGCTGCAACATTTCTGATTTTGCGCACTCTTGGTTTTGGCTTCACTGCCTCATCATCCATTATTAAATACGTTTCATCAGTGTGCTTAGCCTTGTCTGGTGCAACGACTTCCGAAACCACACTTATGCTTCGTCTGATGCTTGGCATACGCATCGCCGCTTCGGGCTTCGGTTCCACACCTAGACTAGAATCACTATCTGTGGGATTAAATGCTGTATATGTTATATCGCGTGGCGGTACATTCGTTTCAGCAATGGAAGCAGCGCGTGTGCTTGTTTTTGTTTCTGCAACTTTCGTTTCCTGCGCTGCTTTAACRGCARCTTTCTTTTCGCTCACTACATTAAGTTCAGCAGYGTTGCGCCTCTTTATTTCGCGTTCAAGCTCGTCTAATTTCTCCTTATAGTTGGTTTCCATGTTGTGTACGAACTCTTCCAGCTTTTCAACGCTTTTTTGCCCGATTTCAACCACTTTCTGCGTTAACAAGCGCTCGAGATCTTCAACCGAGGGGGAACCATGTCTCGATAAAGTCGCTGCATCTATGCGCTCCTGCTCCACATTTAGTTCGACAGTCGCAGTCACTGGTGTCACAGTCGGCGCGGTTTTCGTTTCTTCCAATGTGTGCACGATTTCGCCAAGCTTCCGATTAATTTCAGCAATGGACTCCTCATTATTGGTCTGCTGCATTTGGCGCCAYGCCTCAAATTCCTGTATTTTCGTCTGCAACTTATTTAATTGTGCTTTGCGTTCYCTCATCTCGCTGCTGTCGGTGCTGGCGCTATTTAAGGTCACATCTGCACCGTCATCTTGTTCTTTAATCTCTAGCAATTCACTCTGTATAGCGATGCTTTTAACAGTTTTCATTGGTTCACGTGGCGTACCGCGTCTGCTGCTGTTTGACGTTGTCAAATTGCGTTCACGTATATCGCGTTCAGCATTGTTAAGGCGCTCTTTAAGCTGCTTAATTTCCAGCTCCAATTTGATGGCGTTAATYAACTGTAAGTCATTGTGCTCGCGCTCTCTGGTGCCGGCAGAAGTCTCGGCATGCCGTTCAGAGATTCCAGCGTCGTTAATGTTAGTAGTCCTTCCCAGRACTGCTACATTGTTTGTGSTCCGCATGCCGTGACGACGACTGATGTGTATATTCAGCGCGTCGTTGCTGATRAAGCTCTTAGTGCAGAGATGACATGGATATACCACCTCGTGTATAGCCTCGATTTGTGTGATCTTCTTGTGTAGCTGTAAGATTTCATTATTCGCTTCCGTAAGTGATTTTCGCAATTTGGCAACATCCATTTGTGATTCGGCGTGCGCCTCGCGCAACTCACGTATAGTTTCATCGAGAAACTTGCGACAGAAGAGTAAGTATTGTATGGCGAATTGCGAGACTACGAAATACTTGGCTATGCCACTGTCTAAGATATTTGTATCCAAGATTGTGGCTAAAGGCGCTTCGGAGAGATGCGCCAGCAATGAGTCCACCTGCTCAATTCGCTGATCCTGCAGTAGACGCTCAATTTCGATGGATCCTACGTAGGAATCGTGTTGTTTGGACTGCGTTTGTAATTATGGTTTACATTTGCTTACCTAAGATACGCCAGTCSATGGGTCCATCTTTGTATTGCCGCAGCTTAAAACCGGCTTCACGCGCAACTTGTGGATAATTGTAATTGAAATTTATTGCCATTATCGTGTGGCGTATCAAACAACGCACATTAATGTAAATAAAACACTAGAAACCATACTTCCTGAAAATATAGACAAAACTGTTTTTGTTTGGCCCAAACGTTGACAATGGTCGCCTAGCTACAATGTGGCTTTCAATTTGAAGGGGTGACATAATAGGAAAGGGTAGTTTATATAACGCTTACTGCTCACCGTTGCTGCATTTGATTAACAATCACAGAAGATCGAGCTAATTTTATACAAGGGGGGAAATGTTGGATAAGTTAAGTAAGGAATCTGGGTTGCGTGATGTAAGTTGATCGAAACGAATTCGAGATGAAATCCAAATACAAAGGAAGGAATGAGGAATTAAATATGTAATGTGAAACATTTGAAATAATTGAGTTCTTCGTACTGGAAACGAGGAACCCGAACGTCTTCAATGATTTAGCGTTTCAGTTGGTATTTCAATTAGATTTTATGGACAAAGCGCTTTAAAGTGGTTGATATGACTTTTATTGTACAATAGCATGGTAGTAGCAAAAATTACTCCCTAAAAAGTTTTAACTCAACGCATATGGARGGCATTAGCGAGGTGGAAACGTTTCCGTTGACTTAATTGTTGCGGAAACGACAATATACATACATGGATAAACATAAGATGACATCTACAGTCACCAGCTTTATCAAAATATTTGCTGGTTTCTGGCGTTATTCCTTAAAAAGTTATCGTAATTTAAGTAGTTAGACAATACCATTACATGTGATGTGCTTCACTAATAATTGACTTTTTATTTCATCGAATAAGKCATATAGGCTCCCACGTCAATGTTGACAGTCATAAATTCGAAGTTGTAGAAATTTTCKTTTATTWT